GCATGTAGAGTGGAGTGTGGTAGTGTGTACAATGTAACCTGACTTGACCGTTGAAGTCTGACCGCAGATCCACAGGCGTTGCCTCTCTCCAAAAGTGAGATCTCTCAAGGGGGGCGATCACCAATTGAAACTTATGTCTTCATTTCACTATTTCAGTCCATCAACTTTATTGTACATTTAATTAACTTCAAGCTCAACTAAATCCCCGTTAATCGTAATGAAAAACGTAATACACGGCACGACTAATGAACGGTGGATCAAGGTTCACTTCCGTTTTCACTTAGCAACAAATTATTTCAACGAGCAAGAACGCGATCTCTTCTCGAGTCACAAAGTTAGCGTTCCACACAACTAAGATTTTTCGTACGATATTAAAATACTACGCCCGCGATAAGAACTCAAAATCAGCCTCGCTGACACTCAAAACTAACAAAATAGTCAACACACGAAAAGGCACTTAACGCGACGTTACAATTAAACATTGACTTCCAAAAACAATTAACCGGGCCACGCCCACGCAATGGAATACGAGCATCAAATTCCAGACCGTCTGTCTACTCGGCGTGCGCGCAAGATTCCACGTCACACAAGCAAGTTAAATATTGCAAAATGCACTTTATACGCAATCCCTATACCAATTGACGTAAATTACCTGCAACGAAGTTACTTTAATCAATCAAATTCAATACAAGCCTCTTGTCACGAAACGTACAACTTAGACAACCAATTCGAGGAAGTCTACACGAGACCCAAATTTTCGTATTTAATTTTTTTCCCGTCAAAAGTTTATCTAAATTCTGGAAAAAGTAGAAGTCTGTAGGCGCAAGGTCTGGTGAGTATATTGGAAGACGGAGAGTTTCTAACCCCAGCTCTTGTAACTTGGAGACCGTCTGTTGTGCAGTATGAGGGACGAGCGGTTTACCATAGCTGGTTGGAGATGTGCGAGTTTCTCCAACATTGTGTTCAGCTCTTCACAGTATACATCTGCAGTAATGCTCATCCCGTTTGGTAAGAAACTGTGATGAATCACACCGGTGCCAGAGTACCAAACAGTGACCATCATTTTCCAAGGGGTATGTTTTCGTTTAGGGCATTGTTTAGGTGCTGAACCAGGATCCAACCAACTTGCTGAGTATTATAATGATTGTTGTTGCTGATGTAGGCTGCTGGTCTGGAAGAAAGATATACTAAAAGAAATTGGTGATCGCGTGTACATCCGCGGGGTGGGAGATATAGGTGTCACCTCGTATGATGTTCTAGTGCAACTAACTGTAAGCGGGAGATCATGTACTCAGCGATGCAACACTGATGTTGCAAATATACCTTCACCCTACTATAAAAATCGCGGTAAGTGCCACCATCTCATGATATGCACGCGTACTTATTTATTATAGAAAAGCAAAACGTACATAAGATAAGTAGGAATGTTATATGTGTATATATTTTACATATATTATGTTTTATTAATTAATATTATTTTCTAGAAGCAACGTGAGCATCGTCAACAGTTGTAGTACGAATAGGTTGGCTCGACCGGGGCCCAAACTCTCACAAAATACGAGCGTAAAAAATAGCAGCTTAACGCTGCTGTTTCGTATGGTAAGTGTAGAGAACCGGAGAATGTTTTACTGCAAGTGAAGCATTCCATCTTAGTCCTTAGTCTCAGAGGATGCTGTGACCACAGATGTCTATGTGGTCACAGCATCCACTTACCATGATATGGACTGTGTGCTCGTTTGTGTCCTTTTCTTATAACAAATCTTTGACAGCATTATATTTCTAATTATTTTAACAACTTTATATAAAATAATATTTAACATTTATGATGTTATAATCTTTATATATAAAAATTACGTGTCACGTTGTTTGTCCGCGATGAACTCGTAAACTACTGAACTGATTTCAATGAAGTTTTGCACACTCTGTGCAGTTTAGTCCAACTTGAGAGATAGGATAGTTTTTATCCTGATAAGTGACACGCAATATTTTTTTATTACGAATTTAAGGATTTTTTATATGAAGGGTTGTCGAAAAGGGCAGAACAACGTCTGCCCGGCCAGCTAGTATTTTATAAGTTATGTTTGAAAGCTAGATAATTCAAAAAAGTTAAACCTCTAGCGTTTCTGTGCTTTTGCAGAGTGTCACGTGTAAGTCAATAATTCACTATTTTAAATTTTAATGTCACCTGCAATAAACATTTTAAATTTGCCTTTGAATGGAAGCTCAGCTTGGTTTTGAAATAGATTAACCCGATGAATAAACACAAATTCGTCGGCATAATCACCAGAAAGGATTTTGGCAACAAGAACATGTTTACCCATATTAAGAATTGCCAATCATTTTTCATTGCGCAATCCTTTCATTGAGTTTAAGAGGCTCTGCAGCACGACAATCGATCCAAACTTCATTCTCAGTATATGCGTAAGCATTCCTGAAGGAGTCGCAAGTTAATGAACTTTATTCGATTGTTATTTTCTTGCTCTGAATCATTACACTAAATCTTGTTGTTACGGCCCTCAGCTACCCCGACAAAAGTCGACTGGGCTAGGGCCCATTGTAGCCTCCTCGATGAGGAGCCAGAGGGTTCGGGCCCAATGGCCTATGGATAATTATTCTAAAACGGCTGACAAGCAAACAAAACTTACCTAGTTCCGGAGGTAGGGTTGACCACAGGGTACCAGTCAGGTGGTAAGTGAGGTGTATGTAAGTAGTGTGAGAAAGTGTGTATAAATGTAACCTGACATCCCCGATATGATCCGAGAGCAGACCCACTGGCGCTGGTTTTCGCCAAAATGCGCGATCCCTCCAGTGGGCGTTCAGCAATTGAAACCTTCTGCTTTTATTTCACTATATTAGTTTATCAACTTTATTGTACATTTAACTTCAAATTTAACTAAATCCACGTTAATCGAAATCAAACAAGTGACAAACGACACAACTAAAGAACGGTCGGTCAAAGTTCAATGTTCCATGTTCACTTAGCAACAAATTATAATCGAGCACACGCGATCTCCTCTCGAGTCACAAAGTTTAGCGTTCTCCCGACAAAGCAAAATTCCTTCGTACGATATTAAAAAGCCACACAAACAACAACTCGTCGGCGCAAATTAATGGCAATCAGTTAATTTAATCACTCAAAACTTAATACAATAAGAATTATAACAAGACTAGCCTCATTGCCACGTAAAACGTACAAATTAGACAAATCAATGCGAGGCACGCGACCTAACGATTTATTCTTCTAGACGGCTACGACCTGCCGTCGCGCGAGAATCTTCTAGACAGAGTTTTATCGACTCGGCGTGCGCGCACAATTAACCACACGGCCGCGCCCAACCAACTCAGCGGTCGCAGACAATACTGCTCGACAAGGCCGCGGTGGTCAAGGCACTGTCGCCTGATTTCCAGGCAAATATTTCATTGTTATCGAAACTCATCAGAGCTGCCAGAACATGCTGGGATTAATGGTGTACGAGATGAGAATGTCTTATATTGAATGACAAAGTTTTTTTTTAAAACAAAGAATTTCAAGAGATGGAAAAAATACTTTAAAGTAGTATGAAATCAGGTTAAGCAGCTGGGTATGATAATGTATAATATGAAATGAAGACTGGAGGATCAGCCAACTCATCAATGTCGGAAAACTGTGTACTGTTGATTGAAAGAGTTATAAAGGAAAATGATAGAACATTTTGGGATTTGCAAGCCGAATTTTTAATTGATATTGACTGTACAGATCAAGTTTTTTATGCGCATAATCATAGAATTTCTAAGCCCCTAAAACCTAAAACCATAAAATTTTCTGAAGACTTTTGGACTTGGTAAAGGCTTATGAAAGAGTGGACAGTTCGCTTGGTTTTAGCGCGGGGTTTTACAGATTAAAGATATTATTATGCCTATATCAGACACGCATAGAAATCTCTTTATTCTTTACTCTAGTGCTTCTGTCATAATCGACGAGGCCTACATGACCAGTCTGTTCGGCATTCATCAAGGTGTTAAATAAGGTTGTGTGGCTTTCATATAGCTATATAATCTGCTTACGGACAGTTATTCGAAAACTTTGAAAGTCAACGAATGTGGGTAAAGAATAGAGATGGCTTTTAAAAGGGGAGAAAGTAATACGATATGTGAAATGAAAATGAAAGGGGAGCTGGTAGACATGACATCAAAGAGTGAATGCAGGACGCTGAGTGAATGGGGTTCTTCACTCTTTTGTGGAAAGTCAGAAAAAGCTAATTTATCATAGCACATGTGACAATTCACAAATCTTAATCGTAGTGAAAGTTGGGTGTGGCAGAAAGGATGAGGATAAAATTAATGATGTAGAAGTAAGGTCATAAAGAATTATGTTAGGAGTGACTCTAAAGGATAGGTTTGTGTGACAAAGTAAAGAAGAAGAAAAGTGAGGTTTGTAAGAAGATGGTTGTTTTGGTGGTTTGGACACGTAGAAGTAATAAATAAGGAAAGATGTTTTACGTAGTAGAGCCATGCTACAGCTATATTGTGGGTATAGCACGAATGAATCAGCTCGATCGGGGAAGGACCACGCACTCACTGAATATCAGCGTAAAATGGCAGCTTGACACTGCTGTGTTTCGTATGCTGAGTGTAGAAAACCGGAGACCCATTTTACTGAAAAAAAAGGCATTCTTAGTCCTCACGGGTGACGACGCATCCGCATTTTGATTCTTTATTGAGGATAAAAGTAATGTATAATAATGTAGCTATGTCTATGGTTCACAGCAACCACTTACCATCAGGTGGACTATGTGCTCGTTTGTCACCCTATCATAGTAAAGTTATTGCGTTTATAATCGATATAATTGCGCCTCAACTAGCTATCATTTTTAATGCTAGTATCGAATATGGCGTGTTTCCTGATTTAATGAAGCATAGTAAAGTTTAACCTTTACTTTAATCTGGTACCCCGGCAATTCTAGACCAACTTCTGTACTGCCAATACTTAGTAAAATGTGTGAAAAAATTATTCTTGATATAATGTTTATTTTTTTAATGTAAATAATTTACTTCATAAAATCAATTCGGTTTCACAAGGGGTTGCTCGACAACTGATGCTAGTGTTGAGCTGATTAAATATAATATTTTCAATGCATGGGAGAATTCACAGGATGCTTTGGGTATATTCTGTGACCTATCCAAAGCCTTATATTGTGTTCACCATGAAACATTTAGGTTAAGTGTGGTTGTAGGTTCTTTTGCCCAGGAGACACCCCAATACCTTGAATTTAATGTTATTAATACATTATTTGGAACTACTTTTCATGAGCTTTCGTATCGAATACTACAACTAATGCCAACTCGGCAACTACGCACATGTAACTTCTCACTCAGCCATTCTACTGCTCAATCGATATTAATCGCGATTATTTATATGGTAACTCATTTGAATATTTTTAATACTTATTTTATTTCAATTTTACTGCGCAGTTTCTATCTCGAAACTTGCTAATAAACGAGCATTTTCTTACTGAAGTGCAAAGTAAAGAAAGTGCAATAATATACAACTGCCTTCTTAAACCGCTGCCTTTAATACATTTAAATTTATTATATTTTATAAGATGTTGAAAATTTCTTATAAATCTAAGTCGAGAGCCCAGTTTGTGTGTCAGTGATGACTTGGTCGCCTTTGGCGATGGCCTTGGCCATGACGACTTTTGAATCAGAAGCATTTGCTGTGGCGGTGGCGACTGCTTTGTCGTGTGCGTGCGCTGTAGCTTCGGCCGATGATGAGTCTTGAGCACTAGCTGTGGCAGTAGCGACTGCTGTGTTGTATGAGTGTGCTGTGGCGGTGGCAATTGCTGAGACGTTAGCAATTGCTGTAGCAGTTGAGGTTCCTGTACCATAGGTCACAGCAGTTGCAGTAGCAACTGCTGTACCTGAGGCTATTGCTGTAGCAGTATGTGGTCCCGTGCCATCGGCACCCATTACAACAGTGGTGATCGCTGGGTTAGAACCGACTGCTTTGACGGTGATGCCTATCTCATGACTTGTTGATGCTGTAATGATAAAGGCGACATTTAGGACAATACTTTCTAAGGACAATACTTATGAATTATGTCAAAGAAATTCATTAATAATTGCAAATAAGCAACTGTACTCATAATCGTACTAAGTAGCTTCTACAATATACTAAAAACTCAAAATATCTCAACACACATACAAGAAACTTGTCGGCGGCGGCGCGAACGTGAACTGGCGTTGTGCACGCCTCTGTCCTCGAGACCTGCCAATAACGTAAACATCGATTAGAATTGAGTGTTTCTTCAAGTGTTTCGAGTTCCGACTCGATTAACCTAATAGTCCCTCTGAAAATTTCCTGTCTAAATCACATAAATTATTACGCACTACCTATAGTTCACTTGCTGGTAGTAAGTAAATTATGTACGCCATAGACACTTTCTAATTTCAAATTAACAATTAAAATACATATGCGTTGTAAGCTTTTAGGATAACAATTAAATGCCTTGTGACCAATAAACAAGGTCTCCGGTTCTCGTCATTACCATAAAAAACAGAGCAGCATTATTCTGTTATTTTGCACTGATATACTGTAGGAGTTTGACTTTAAGGTTTGAAATGTCCTTTTCATGCTTGAATCGCAGCGGTTTTTTTTTTATTTAGTAAACTTCGGACCATAAACAAGTTCACAATTATCAACTTATCTAATGTAATTACTGCACATTTTTATTATTGTGAACTAAGCAACGCTGGTCACTAACTTTAGTATTACAGTTTTTCAAAGGTAGATGAAGCTTGTTACAAAGTATACCTAGACAGTGACGATATCTTGTTATTTTAATTAAGAATGAAAGTTTACACACATTATATGACAGCACTGCACATTAGTTTTTTTTAAATTGTCGTGTCATATATTCCACCATCTTCTCAATAACTGTGAGCGTTGCTCCACCACGTGTAACAATATCTATCATGTTACCGTAAGTATTTAAATGTCTCCAAGGGAAAGCTTCAATCATTTCGTGACTTCTGGAGTGAAGTACCATCTCAGTCAGTGTCAAGTGACAGTGAAACTTGTAAACTACGAAGGACGCTGACGCTACTACCACCAATTCGAGTACCAATAGCGACTTAAACTAATAGCAAATTCTACAGTTAAATACAAAAATTTGGTGATTACAATCTTACAATTACCTGAAGGAGTAGAGAAGTCTTGGTCCAAGAACGGAAATCCAGTTTGACTAGTCATGATTATCATTCTAAAATCATCGTGCACAGGAATAATACCGGATGGTTTGCCTCCAGAACTATTAATTTTTTTCCTGGAAATCATCCTTCTACCATCACTCAGTACCATCTCTCCATTTTCTATTAAAGTATTTAGGATGCTTGTTACTGTTGTTGGCGCTTTGTCCGCTTCATCTACAACTAACAGATAGCCATATTTAACGGCTTTGACAAGTGGTGAATCTTCGTAAATGACCGTTCCATTTTTCGCAGTTGGGTGTATTGTCAAAGAATGTACCGTTGTATAGCGGTGCAACTGTGTGTATTCCGTAGGTCGATTCAAATGTTGTAATAGTCTGTCTGCGATTTTTTTATTTTCCAATCCCCGGTTCTCGACTAGCAATAGATGATTACCTCGTTGAATATCTTGTAGCAACAACTCCATTATTTTCCTATGTTGCGGTATATCACTGAAAATTATATCAGGGACTACATTCAAAGCTTCATCAGTTCTAGAAATGCTTGCACTGGTTTTGTCATTTGTTAATGTCCCATTTTCCATCATGGGAAACTGTGGTGGAGTTGTGAGAACTTCGCCATACTGAAAATAAATAAATGTTTTTCTTGTGTTAAGATATTATGAAAAAATATACACCTTAACACTTTAAAATATACAATACAATTTTTTTAGTTTTGAGTAACATTCAAAATACATAATATGCATTGCGTTTAGTAATAAATACGTTGTCTGAATCTAAATACACTCCAGTGTGTCAGACAAGGTCAGAATAGAAACAGAAATAGAAGTTTATTTATTCAATATAGATTGTAAATAATATGAAAGTGAACGCAAGTAAGACGAAAGTTATGGTTTTTGAAAGAGAAGAAAGTAAAACGATATGTGAAATAAGAATAGAAGGGGAGTTGGTAGAGCAAGTAGATGAGTTTGTATATTTGGGATGTGTGTTTAGCAGGGATGGTAGATATGATAAGGATATAGAACGACGAGTGAATGCAGGAAATAGAGTGAATGGGGCTCTACACTCTATTGTGAAAAGTCAGAATGTGTCCAAAAAGGCACGTATGGCAATTCACAATGCTGTATTAGTACCTACTTTAATGTATGGTAGTGAAAGTTGGGTGTGGCAGAAGAAGCATGAGAGTAGAATAAATGCTGTAGAAATGCGGTCATTAAGGAGTATGTTAGGGATGAAGCTGAATGACAGAGTGAGAAATTGTTTAATAAGAGAACAGTGTGGTTTGCAAGATGATGTTGTGACCAGGATTAAGAAAGGAATGCTTCGGTGGTTTGGCCATGTAGAAAGAATGAATGAGGAAAGAGTAACAAAGCAAATTTATGTTGCAGAGGTGAACGGCATAGTCGGGAAGGGTCGCCCTAGGCGAAAGTTTATCGACCAAATTGGCGATATATTAAAAATGGGCCAAATCAAGAGTACCTTTAACCGACGAGCGTGTATGCGTAGGTATATGGATGTGGAGGAAGCGAGAGAGGTGTGTCAGGATCGTGCCAAATGGAAGTCCATAATCTCTGCCTACTCCTCTGGGTGACAGGCGTGAGTGTTTATATATGTTATGTTATTGTAAATAATACTTTTTAAAATTCACTGTTTTGTTTAATTTACTACAGGTTCAGAAAAAAACCTCTGTCCCGTGAAGGACTAGCAAGAAACCCAGCGGAACTATTTTCTGAAATATAAAACAGTGTTTGCGATGCGGTATAATGTTTACTAAAATTATCAGTCAGGTTCTATGAAATAGAACGCCTTTTATTCTATCATACGATTATTTATTGATATAAGCTTTAAACTAACTAAGATTCAAGTAACATTACATAGTTAACGAGCTACACAATACGAGTTAAATGCAAAATTTTATATAATTTTAATTCATGTGTAACGTACGTATGGTAGGCGTACGGAACGTCGTAAGTGATAACATATAGTTTCATATTAAGGGTTGTGCAAGAACAGTCTGTCAACTCGTGTACGTTACTACCATTCAAGCGATTCGAGTCTCGTGATCGGTCATTTTAATTGTTTATTATGAGAAATTATATTGTGAAAATTAATGTTATAGTAATTTAAATTGCTGTTGTAAGATAATAAAACAAAGGTTGTTATGTGGAAAACTATTAATTATAATGGAAAAGTGACAAGTTGTAGTTAAAAATAAGTAATAATGATTAATTTATTTAATTGTATTAATTTGTTAGTAAAATTGTAATGTAGATTTTAAATATTGTATATTGTGATTGTTGTGATTGTTAAATATTGTATAATTAAACATTTAAGAATGGTGAAACTGGAAAATACTCTGTAATTTTTTTATTTCTTCTTTATTGCATTCCTTAAAACAAAAAAATACAAAGCGCGGGCTTAATGCCACCGTAGAGTCTATATCACCTGAGGATGCCTCGTGTAGAGGCGAAACACGTGTCGTATTATCGTCAGTGGTGTGTCTTGCCTAGTGTAGTGGTGTTGGGAGTAGTGGTGCTGGGATTAGTGGTGACGGGGATAGTGCACGCAATTGAGGGAGGGCGGTAGGTGCTTCTTCATACTAGGTAAGACACATCATTTTATTTTATAACGCGGATATTTGCGAAGTAAATTTTTGTAAAAGCTTATATATAATGGATTTCCGCAAACTAACGCCTGATTCTATTAATTATAGAAAAATGGTCATACTTACGAAGCTCGAAAATAAATCTTATACATTTATTGAGAAGGCGTTCCAGCTTATTCAGAAGATCTTGGGACAGATCTGGGTATGTGTGTACATCTGCATAATCAATTATGGCTAATATGAGCGATTGGACAAGCATGATCTTAGAGTTTGTGGGAATAAAATGTTTTAAACGACACAGAGAGCATAACTTGGCAATGATTTTACGAGTCACTACTGAAACCTGGGTTTTATCGATATGTAGATCAAAATTTTTAACAGAATTACTGAACGGAATTATAATACCATCATAATAAATAGGAGGTACATCTGCAAGATTAATTTTAGCCAGCATCCTTGAGATACCCACCAGTATAGCTTGGCATTGCAAAATATTGACACAAACTCCATAATGAGTTGACCAATCTTTTACAACTAATAAGTGGTCGTTAAGTTTTTGATCCCATTATGGATATCCCCAATTTCAGCTTGCACATAAAGCTGAAGGTTATCGCCGTTCAAATGGTACGAGCAGTCAAGGATAGAGGTAATAAAGTTTATAAAAATTGAAAAAATTATAGGAGAAAGAATACCGCCTTGCGGCACACCAGCATCAGCCCAAACTGAGGTCATTTGCCCCACACAGACTGACTGCTGTCGACCGCGAAGATAAGATGCAAACCATTCAAAAGCAGTAGGATCAAAATTCAAATCAGCTAGTACCAGTACTGTTATCTTCTTTCTTCCATACCTTGTCTAATATTATCAGTAACATTAATTAAAGCAGTAGTGGTACTATGACCAGGGCAAAACCCAGACTTAAATATACTCAGTAGGTTATGTTTCAAAATAAAAATTTGCTTGTAAACACAGGATTCCAAAATTTTAGAATTTTAGAATGGGCAAAAATGATTGGGAAGAATGGGAGTAGGAACTTTTGCGAGAGGCTTTATAAAAGCCCTCTTCCAAAGCGAAGCGAAATGTTGGTTGATTTCATCGAGTGAAGAAGAAGAACTACAATCCAATGTAGCTAGCCTGCAAAGACCAAAAGGTCCAGATATTTCCACACTTCGGCTGTAGAATAGTTATTAATACAGTTATGGAAATATCGGCATTTAGCTGCACTTACCATCTGATTACACCTATTACTGACTTTTTCCATTTTCAGAAAAACAGATTGGCTTGAACAAAAAATCGTTGAAAAATAATTACGCAACTTGTCATAATGGCACTTGACAACAATTAAATAAAGAATCACTATTTAATGAGTATACATTTATTTATATACTACCCTCAAATCTCGATTAGGCCGAGAACTTTTAAAACCTATATATATATATAGGTAGGATAAGTATATGAGAGACTCGTCAACGACGTCTGCCCGCTACAGTATATTAGTTCAAATTTTAATGGTTATTTAAGTTACATTTATGCTGCCCGCGTGTGGGTTGCGTACTTGACGATCTTCGAGCTATTATTTCCTCACTCTAACACTCCGGTGCGTAGTACTTTTCTTCGCCCGGCGGTCAAGCCTGATCATGGGTATTAATTATATATATTTATAACGCGTGACATATGACCGTGTATCCATAACTCCATATCATCACAGTAGGTATCATAAGATGCAACAGAGGGAAACAATATACAGAGGTAATATATACATTTTTCTTAGATTTACATGTCATTATCAAGTTACATATTGTATACTTGTTTATACAGGTACAGGTTATACAGGCAAATCTCGCGTCAATCTTTTATATCATTAAAATTGAGTAATATAATAAATTTATGGGTTTGATTTAATTTAAAACGTATTGCACACCTCATAACGGGAATCTTTATTAGGTAGGTAGTGCTTTACTCTCGACACGTCAAGGTCAAGCAATTTTGTGTTCTTAAAATGCCTCTATCATAACCATATTGCACTTATACGATAATATAAGTAGCCGTATATCAAGAAAACACTCTTATTAATCCATCTTATATTTTCTAAAAATCATTTTATATTGCCACTGAAAAAAAAGGTTTGATTAAAAAATTTCCTGGACGTCACGATAACTCCCGAAGAAATTGACGTGTCGAGACCGGGTTTTTTTATTAGCTTCATAATTCCATCAACTGGTTCCCTATTTCATATCAATAGCCTAGTACGCGTAGTTTGTTAATAAAATGATTTTCAACTTTTATAACTTTTATTGCTATTAAAAATTTAAAGGCGCTTTCATATTTTTTAGCCCTTGGATAGGCAAAGGACAAATCGACCTCATAGCCTATATCGATGTTATACTTTGCGTAATCGATTTATTTTGGTAAACATTATTATGTTTTCTCTGTAGGTAAATCTAAAACACGCAAATAATATACTTCAAAATTCAGAAGCGTGCACTTTTGGATTTTCCAAACTATTTTCTTTTTTTAGAGCATTTATACAAAAGCTTGTTTTTAAAAATGTTTTTTTTTTACTATCATTTATTCGTAAATCGTGAATACAAAATTTTCTATGCATTTATTATAATACAGGTAAAGATATAGATAAAGTAGACATTTTAAGAACGCCTCGTTACCTTAACAGAACCATCAAAAACATAAACCTTTTTTGCACTTGCGCAATCGGATAAAAGTAACATATATGTGACACAGGGTCTTCAAATGCATACGTACCATAATATTTCATCAAAAACTGTCCAGCAGTTTTTGCGTAAATCGTGAACACATAATGATGATATGATGAAATTTGCCCACACTACACACTCAAGGCGTTGAGAATTTCTATAGAGCGTTTCCATATTGATTTCTACTATCAGAAGGTCGCTAAAGTCCCACCCTTATCAGGGTGCAGGGTATACTTCTCTCTTTAACCAATTTTTAAAGTGCATAGCATGTAGAGATTTCATTTACAACAACGCCTGCAACTTTACAAGGCGCAGGCTCGGCCTCACGTGGAATACTGTTCCCACCTCTGGGCTGGGGCTCCCCAGTGCCAGCTCCTTCCACTTGACCGCATCCTGAGCAGAGCGGCTTGAATTGTCAACGACGGAGTTCTTTCCGATCAGCTCGATTCATTGGCGCTGCGAAGAGATATTGCATCCCTTTGCATCTACTTTCACATTTACCACGGGGTGTGCTCAGAGGAATTGTTCGGATTAATCCCAGCCGCCAAATTTACGAACGCACATCGCGTCAAAACTCCCGATACCATCCACACCATCTGGATGAGCCGTGGTAGCTCAGATGGTTAGCGCTCGCTTTAAGCTTCACAGTACTAGAGCAACCCGGGTTCGATCCCCGCCGACACCAATGAAAATGTTAATTGCAATTTTAAGCGCTGATTTACCACGCGCTTGGCGGTGAAGGAAAACATCTTGAGGAAACCTGCATGTCTAAGAAATAGGAAAAAAAATATTTCGAAGACATGTGAAGTTCGCCAACACCCATTGGGGCAGCGTGGCGGACATTCCCTTGCCCTAAAACCCTCTCAGAAGTGAGAGGAGGCCTGTGCTCAGCAGTGGGACGTAAATAGGCTGCAACTTTACTTTACTTTACATCTGGATGATTAGTGGTCCACCACAGTGCGATTTAGAAGATGTTTTCTTCCTCGCACAACTTCCTTGTGGAATCGATTACCACCAGCGATTTTTCCGGACCAATACGACTTAGGGATCTTCAAGAAAAGATCGTACTCCTTTTTAAAAGGCCGGCAACGCATCTGAGATTTCTCTGGTTCCCCTGGTGTTGCAGTTGATCATGGGCGGCGGTATTCACTTACCATCAGGTGAGCCGCATGCTCGTTTGCCCCCTCTTCTATAAAAAAAACGTGACCTGAAACTAAGAGTGCTAGAAGTGAAGTGGAAAATTTTCGTGCGATGGAGGCGTAAGAGATTTCCTAATAACCTCGTCTATTCCGTGAGACATGATAATGGGAATGGCCAAAAAGGCCTCATAAACTCCAATAGATGGAAGTATACCACCTCTTATGAGTCACATGTAAAATAACCAGACCGGCGAGTGGTTCAACACGCCTGGTACTACGATTGCTATCCGCCAGCCAACCATGAAGTTTACCCAGGCCCATGTCAATCAGTAGACTATCAGAAACTAAAAGAGAAGAAGATTAATGAGAGTGGAATATACTTGAACATATATAAGTAAAATAGTCTCGTAACTTGGCTACTTTATTTGATACGAATTTTATAAAAATATATGGATATTTTACTTAAGAAAAGAGGAGGTTAACCAATTTGACTACGTTTTTTTTTGTATTTACGCGATGTCTTCGTTAGTCATGAACCAAATATGATATTTTTTTATTAAGTATATACTTCAGGGATACCATATATAAATAAATTTGGCGAAAACTTTCTACTTGCCAGGGTAGCAAAATAGAGGATGAATTTTTTAATGTAATTATTCAGACGACATTGAAATTGTAATATTCCTTAGTTCTGTAGGCAAATGAATGATGATATAAGACTTGTTGTATTGTATTAATAACGTGGTAGAGCCATGCTGCAGCTATGTTAATAGTATAGTTGTATAGGATCTGTAGACAGAGCTGTTAAAGGGTGGGAGTTCAGGATGACTAGTCATGCTGATTACCTTGTATATTAGATTGGCGCACCATACTATAGATTTTCTACGGTAAGTACGGTGGTAAAGCCATGCTGTAGCTATAATATTATGGTTGTAGCACTAATCGGTCGGATGGACCGGGGAAGGATCACGCTCTTACAGAATACCAGCGTAAAATAGCAGCTTAATGATGCTGTGTTTCGTATGGTGAGTGTAGAGAACCGGAGACCTGTTTTACTGAAAAAGAGCCATTCTATCTTAGTCCTCACGGCTGACAACTGCATTTTAATTCGCAAGCGATGATAGATGTAGATGTCTATGGGCCACAGCAACCAATTACCATCAGGTGGACTGTATGCTCGTTTGTCACTCTAATTCTATAAAAAAAATGATTATATAGGATTATTATTACACTTGTGTGTGTGTGTGTGTGTGTGTGTGTGTGTGTGTGCGTGCGTACGTGCGTGCGTGCGTGCGTGCGTGCGTGCGTGCGTGCGTGCGTGCGTGCGTGCGTGCGTGCGTGCGTGCGTGCGTGCGTGCGTGCGTGCGTGCGTGCGTGCGTGCGTGCGTGCGTGCGTGCGTGCGTGCGTGCGTGCGTGCGTGCGTGCGTGCGTGCGTGCGTGCGTGCGTGCGTGCGTGCGTGCGTGCGTGCGTGCGTGCGTGCGTGCGTGCGTGCGTGCGTGCGTGCGTGCGTGCGTGCGTGCGTGCGTGCGTGCGTGCGTGCGTGTGTGTGTGTATGTGTGTGTGTGTGTGTGTATGTGTGTGTGTGTGTTCTATATACTCTTACTACAACTACTTCTACAGTTAATTCTGTAAAACAATAACTTTACATTTTGTAGTCTGCGCTTTAATTCTTCAATACAATATGTTGTGTTTGCACCGACTGCATACTCTAGTTATTGCAATACCTACAATTTAGAATTTCTAAATTGTAGATCCTAAATTTGGATTTCAATTGAAGGCAAGTAAGAAAAACAAGGTTATAAATTGTTCAATTTAGTATTGAATAAAACTACTTTTAATTATTAATTTTGGTCCGATCTACGCAAAAAATTAATAATTAAAAAGCTGAAGGTACTCCGGGTTAACTTTGACATCGGGACGTCAATCACCTCAGTCCCCCGTGACCACGGTTGCTGGAAAGCAACCGAAACGTCGGGAATATAAAATAAGTTAATTAAACGCGATAAAATCCGTAAAAATAGTTTTATTCAATGTGTAGTGTTCGCGTAAATATAAGAAATCATTACAATTTAGTATTATTAAAGCTCTGATGAACCCTATTTTACTTACATTTTTCATGTCGTAAAATATAAAAAGATTGATTACCTTCGGCGTTAACCGTTGCTGTTCAATATTTGAAAAAGGTGGTTCGGCAAGTGTCAACAGTCTACAACAAATTTGGCATATAAATAAATCATAAGGCAAATACAAAAGGAAAAATCTTAAAAAACTACAAATGATTGATAATCGTAGTCCTGGTGTTGAAAAAGTTCTTAGTGTGGTTAATTTATTAAGTAATGCTTGATACGAACCGCATCAATAACTTTCTCGACATTAAATCATTATAGTTTAAATTAAAATTTAAAAAAAAGTAAAGCGTTGACGCAAAGCAAAACATTAAGAGTAATTTTTTTAGGTATTTAGATTATTCGTAGGATAAAAGGATTTCTCAAAAATTTATGATAATATCCCACCAAAAATAAGCAGTTCCAAGAACGTTGCATATTTGTAGCAACTGTTATGGAGCTTGCTGCCTGTTTAGATCTCAACCGTCGTGTACCGAGCATTCCTATTAGCCGACTTCGATAGAAGATGAGGTTTCCAATTCGACTGTATGTAACAAATAGTATGTTTGTTACGCGAT